AACACTTATCAGTGTCTATCATTTAATACTGTTGATTTCATGGGCTTGTTAGGATTGGTCAATATATGTGAATTAAATTTGTAATATAGTGAATGTCACATAGAAGGTGCTTAATTAATGTAGCTTTTGTCCTGCTGTCTTCAAGATTCCTCAAAATAAAACCTCTAATATATAGCCTTTTAGGGAGGTTGCAATACTTTACCTATAAAAAGGAAATAGTTACAATACTACTTTTAGAGTTAAAAAAGTCACAATTTTAAAAAATTAGAATTTACATGTCTGCTAGGGAGCATGAACCACATGGATTTAAATGATTAATCCTGCTTGCAAATCTATTTTACTAGAACTGAGTCCTCTGATAAAAAGTCACTCAGAACAATTCAGAAATCACTCTTTCGGATTCAGTAAATACTCATTAATGCTTATTAAACACATAACAGACTCTACTTGCCAGTGAGATTGGCAAAATATTTATTATTCGATTATGTGTTTGAGAGCAGAAAAAACTAAGAGTCTGAGACTTACTTTTTATTTAAGGAAGAAATTAACTGGTGACTAGAGCTGATTGATTAGAACAGAGAAACCAATTGGATGTTTAAGTTAGTTGTATAGCAAATGCACAGTCTTTTCCCGAGTAATTAACAAGGGCTGCTCTATGGTTTTAAACTGTTACGGAGCATTTTGTAATTTTCAAAGTGCTTCCCCAATCCTGGTCCCAGTGATCCTCACAGTAATCTTATAAATTATAGGTCCATTGTCTTTTGATGATAACCTAGGCTTTAGAGTCAGGTTGTATAGCTTCAATATCTATTGGCTATGTGACCTAGAACAGATTATTTAACTTTGCTGAACTTTAGTTATTTCCATATATAAATTAAGATATAACATTTACCATATATGATCATTATAGAAATTCATTTATGATAAGCATTTAGCACTATGTTGGACACATTTCAGGTGTTCAATTTATTGGGAACAATTATTATTGTTGTTGTTATTGTCTTTGACATAAATTGGAGAGGGGTGAATGATCCTGAGTTTATGGAAACTGAGGCCAAGGAGTTTAAGTGACTTATCTGTGATCCCACCTGGGCTGCAGAGTCAGGACCAAAGCTCTGAGCTCTTCATCAGCTGCTCTGTTGGGCAGCACACAACTGCCCCATGTGCTCCAGGAGGCTTGACTGAAGGGTGAGCAAGCTGGCCCCTGCCAACTTCACTGGCCACCTAGACCCTGGCATGGCTGACTTATTTTGTAGGTACTGTCTCATTGTGATGTTAAAACTTTAACAGAGCTTGACTCTCTTATTTAATTTTATTTTGCTTCCCAGAAGTATTAGAGAATTACTTGATATGAACACTTTGAATTTTTTTGTTTGTTTGTTTGTTTGTTGTTTTTTTTTTTTTGAGACAGACTCTCGCTTGTTGCCCAGGCTAGAGTGAGTGCCATGGCGTCAGCCTAGCTCACAGCAACCTCAAACTCCTGGGCTCAAGCAATCCTGCTGCCTCAGCCTCCCGAGTAGCTGGGACTACAGGCATGCGCCACCATGCCCGGCTAATTTTTTTATATATATATTAGTTGGCCAATTAATTTCTTTCTATTTATAGTAGAGACGGGGTCTCGCTCTTGCTCAGGCTGGTTTCGAACTCCTGACCTCGAGCAATCCGCCCGCCTCAGCCTCCCAGAGTGCTAGGATTACAGGCGTGAGCCACCGCGCCCGGCTTGAATTTTTTTATTATTTCAGAGGTAACATCCAATATTTTATTAATAGTATCAGATTATTAGATAATGATTAATAATGCCTGATTTATAATTACTCATGTTAAACTATAGCTTGCAATATGATTATGACTGTCAAAACTTATCACAGTGCAGGGTTCAAACTAGTTAGATATTGCCCTGGGATTAGCCATTAAATCATCTAGAAATTGAATAACCATCATGTGGCAGTGATTTATTTATTTAATTTTTGCAAAAAACAGTTTGTTTTGCTCTAACATTCTCTGAGATCAGATTTTAGGATACTTAAGAACCTAGAAACGGTGATAAATACCTGTAATTCTTGTCTTGTTCCCTATGGGGACAAATCTTTACATCACAGACAGATATGGAGAGAGGTAGTGTATTTTTCCATCATGTAAACCATTAGTTTGGGTCCATAAACATTTTAGGCTTGCTTTCTCCAAAGGAAGCATGGTTTTATCCACTCATTTAGATGAAAACAGTAAGAAATTAGAATCTAATAGTTCCAAAACTTTGCCTCAGACAATTCATATTTTTACTTTAGAGCAGCTTGTCTGGGACTTTGGTAAACGGGATAATTTTTCCCTGATGTTTGCCTTTTTTCCTAAGGGATCTATTACTAATGACAATATAGAAAATTTAAATTCAGTAATTAATTAATTTGTTCATATAACAGATATTTTAAGTGCCTACTATGCAGTGGTGTGCTGGTAAGGCAATTCTCTGGAATAAAAGTGGCCTGATTTACAGCACTTGGTGATTTCTGGGTGTATACCATTCCCCATGGCTGATTTCAAGCTCCCAGTGCAATGTCATTGACCACAGACTTGGGAAGAGATGAGTAGTATCTATTTTGTCAAGCCAATCTGAGCCTTCTTCAGCCCACCCTTGATCCTATGTGTTACACATACACACACACAAAGAGTCTTCAAAATGTTCATGAAAAATGTGAATTATGAAAAAGCTATGTGTGTTTTTCAAACATTTTATGCACCAAAATAAACTCACACTAACTTGTTATAACATGTCTGAATAAGATCTAATTTGGGACACTAAAAAGGTTAAGACACTAGTTTGAAAAGAGTCCCTATCAAAACAACACAAATTCTGCTAAAATTGAAGCAAGAACAAACATCAAATTTATGATGAAATTTGATTGGAATAATAGTGAAATCACTGATGCTTTACAAAAAGTTTATGGGGACAATGCCCCAGAGAAGTCAGCAGTTTTCAAATGGATAACTCATTTTAAGAAGAGATGAGATGATGTTAAGATGAAGCGCATCGTGGCAAACAGTCAACTTTAATTTGCAAGGAAAAAATTAATCATGTTTATTTCCTAATTGAAGAGGAAAAACAATTAATAGCCGAAACAATAGCTAATGTCATAGACTTTTCAATTGGTTCAGCTTGCACAAAACTGCCTGAAAAATTAAAGCAAACCTTCCACTCAATGGGTGCCAAAATCATTGTACTCAGATCAGCTGCAACAAGAGCCGAGCTTTCAATGGAAAAGTTAAACAAGTGGTGTCAAGATTCTAAAGCATTTCTTTGCAGAATTATAACAGGAGATGAAACATAGCTTTTCCAGTACAATCCTGAAGACAAAGCACAATCAAAGCATTTGCTACCAAGAAATGAAAGTGGTCCAGTTAAAGCAAAAGTGGACCAGTCAAGAGCAAAGTCATGGCAACAGTTTTTTCGACGCTCAAGACATTTTGCCCATTTGACTTCACAACATCTGCCTAGTATGAGAGTGTTTCGAGAAAGTTAACCAGCTCTTTAGCAGAAAAATGTCTGGAAACCTTTAGCAGAGAGTCCTTCTTCACCATGACGATACTCCTGCTCATTCCTACTCATTCATCAAACAAGGACAATTTTGCAAGAATTTCTATGGGAAATTATTAGGCATCCACCTTATAGTCCTGATTTGGCACTTTCTGACTTCTTTTTTCCCCCTAATCTTAAAAAATCTTTAAGGGGCATTCATTTTTCTTTAATTGATAATATAAAAAAGTTGGCATTTGATATGGTTAAATCCCCAGGACCCTGCCTTCTTTAGGGATGGACTAAATGGCAGGTATCATTGCTTACAGAAGTGCCTTGAACTTCATGGAGCTTATGTTGAAAGTAAGCTTATATTTATATTTTTATCTTTAAAAGATAAAATGAATAATTAATTAAATCAATAAAATAAAATTTTATTTTCCATGAACTTTTTGAAGACCCCATTTGATATCAGTAACAGATGAAAATGGAAATATTCAGCTAAATCACCAAATAACTTAAGATGATTTGATTTATTTTTTATTCAGGGAATACATTTGAGTTCTAATTGAGTAAAGCAGTGAAACAAAAAGCTGGAGTTTTATGTTAGTTCTATACACAATTTCCATCTCTATGATTGAAACTTGATCAGTATAAATGATTGATTCATAATTTTCAACCATGTGATTGGATATTTGAAAATAATATGGAAATGAGATTGTGCATTTTCATCTCCTGGACACAAACCATTGACCAGTGTAAATCTACGATGTTATATTTGTTACTTCATTTAGAACTGTATGGTGGTAAAATAGTGTCATTCCATTAAATATGGTACATTCTTCACATCAACTGATCAGAGTAGTCTACTAAAATTTAAGGTTTGGGATTTAGTACCCTATGTTCTGTTTCATGGCTAGAGCTAGCATCTATAGGCAGGTCAGCAATCTTGTAGTGTTGCAAGTGAAGTAGGTAATGGGGGATTGATGGATTAATAAAATTAATCCTCACTATTAGAAAAAAAATTCAACTATAAGCCCCATGAATGACAGGTCAATGGGATTTCCACATACATGTGTATGTGTTGTATGTATCCATATTTTAATTTTGTCTTTTTTCTTCCAAAAGTGATAATGAATGGTCATTTTAGAAAATATGATTAAAATACAAATAATTAAAGAAGCAAAAAAATCAATCATAATTTCACCATGCAGAAGCAGTTTCTACATTTTTGGCATTGTTCTCTTTGTATTTTTTAGGCACTTAAACAAGTGTTGAACTCATATTGTATATAGATCTTTGTTTCTTGAATTTTCTTAAGTAAACATCATGTCAAAGTATTTCTTCATGTAATGAAAACTCTTTGTTATCCTTTCAATTAGGTACATAATAGTTCATCTTCTGTGTGAGCCATCATTTTTCTAAACATTCTACAATTTTAGACATCTAAGTGGTTTTTCACATTTTTCTTTTATTGTAAATAATACTGCAGGAGAGATCTTTGTCTATAGATCTTTGGTTATATGTCTGATTATTTCCTGAGGAGAAATTCCGGACATCAAGTGTATGAACAATTGAAGGACTTTAGAAACAAAATCAAAGTGCTTTGCAGTGAGATGTTCTCAGCCCACCTGTCAGCAGTGAGGTGCTGCCCAACAGCACTTCTCAGCATCAAGGATGGTAAGTTTTTAGACTTTGCTCATTTGATAGGAAAAAAAGTGCTAAACAACATGAATTTGCCTTTTGAGTACTAGGGATAAACTTTTTTGTACATTTATTAGTCATTTGCATATTGTATGAATTATCTGCTCATATCCATTGCCTATTTATATACTGAAATCTTAAAGTTTTTAAATAGGTTTGATTGAGTTCTATAAATAGTGAGTATATAACTTTGTTTCTCATACTTGATGCAAATATTTTCCCAGTTTACTATTATTTTATGTACTTTAGCATGCTTTTGTGATATATGGAAATTGAAATGTTTAGTAAAGTCATCTTTATTTATATCTTTCCTTTGTAATGTCTTCCATTGAATTTGAACTTAGCAAGTTCATCCACATTCTAATCAGATAAATATTCATCTATGTTTTCTACTGATTTTTGTGGCTTTCATTTTTTAAATATTTAACTCTTTATTTTGTTTGCGCTGTACTCAAGTATATAAATATAATTTAAAGATATAATTAATTTTTACTAATATCTGACAAAGTATCCTAAGATCAATTATAGAATAGTGCTTCTACTCTTCATTAATTTGTGATGCTCACTTTACAAATATTTACTATTTGTAAATATTTATTATATACTAAGGTCTGTTCCTGAAACTTTAAAAAAAATTTTTTTTCTTAAACTTTTTCTTCCAAATTACAGAAGTAATGCATGCTAAACCAAGAATACTTGAAAAACACCAAAAATCACAAAGGAAAGAGATCATCCATATTCTCACTCATTGCATGTAATAATATATAATAGTTTAATCTGATTTCTTGCAATCGTTTTTTCACATAAAGTTTTACAAAAATAGTTATTTTTAAATATTCTTTTATCATTTAGCAATATGTGTTCCTAAAACTTTGATTTTGTTCCATGTTTCTGTCTAGTGTTGTGTCAGTACCATTTTTAATATTTAATTATTATAGACTTATGATATTTTTATAACTTCCATTTCTATTTATGCCATTATATTACTCCCATTTTGAAATTAGTTTGTCTAAACATTTTATTTTTCCAAAAGACTTTAAAAACAATTAGAACAATAAATTAGAAAAAAAATTTTCTGTTGGGATTTTATCACTGTATTAAGCTTATATTTTAATTTGGGAAGAATTGTCACAGTAACATCACTTAAAATAAATGTCACCAAAATTATTTACCTTATAAATCAATACAAAGTGAAACCCCAAAGTTGAGGTGTAGATGGAACTCAGAGTATTACAGAAAGTCATTAACCAAACTGAACTTGGGTCAAGTTCACTTACTTCCACGTATTTATTAGCTTTGAGGTCTTGAGCAAATCTTTTAAGATTTGTGAACTTATTTCCTTTTCTGTAAAATGGGAATAAGTCCTTCCTGCTTACTTCATAAGGTTGTTGTGAGGATCAAGGAAGAGTAGGATTACCAATGCTTTTTAAAATATTAAAACGTGTATTTTTAAGAGTTAAATTATTTTGATCCCTGTAAAGATCAAAATTTCCTGCATATGGACACATCAGGATCAGATATCTGAAAACTACAACTGATTCTCATTTCCTTCAACTGGGGAACTTATAAACTATGCTTACTGTCTATCTAGTGCTTTTAAAAATCAAATCGTTCAATTTTTTTTCCTTTCTCACTGCAGATACAGTTCATTTACAAAGACCAAAACTCATTAATACAGAAAAGAATGCCTTAGTATTTTATAAGCAGGACTCCTGTCAAGCAAATTGCTCTTGGCAGGAAAGCAGATCATGTATCTTGAGCTTATCTACCTCCTCGAGACTGCGTCCAGCCCCCATCACTCGGGTACACACAGAGCCTTGGCAGGCCGGCACTGCACTGTCTGGGTTGGGGCTGCCTAGCCCGAGGCATTTGAAGAGAGCTTATTCTCTCCATTCATTCTGTGGTTTAGGAAGCTCAGCTTCTTCTCCTCGAGTGATGATTTTCTGCTGTCATTTTCAAACTACATACTACTGTTTATTTGGAATCTAAACATTTGGGAAGCTTAAAAGACCCAATTTGTTGAGGACACAGTCTGCACTCTAATTTTACGCGCGAGAGACACATGACGAGTAAACATGTTGATAGCAGGATTTATTAAAATGTAACTTTTGCAATGTAATAAGGGGCCAGGAAGATTTAGTTCATTCTCCAATGGCACTGTTTATGATGGAATTTTAGATCTGAGAGAGACTGGACTATTACTTGCTTAACCCTTTGTTTTGCAAATGAAGAGCTGGATTTAGAGAGGTGGTGACTTTTCCAGGCCACGAGGCCAGTCAGCGGCAGAGCTGGGAGCAGAGGAGAGTCTAGCTTCCTTGATCTCTCCTCCCTTCTCTGACACTGCGCCATTCTGAATATAACACAGATGCAATGCAAAGTGTTAGAGTGTGGGGGTAACCTAGGAAGAGAAAAGTCATAGCTGCGACTGAACATCCTACTTATACCTGACTCACAAGGTCCTCAAACTCAAGTCCTCAGGCCGGGCGCGGTGGCTCACGCCTGTAATCCTAGCACTTTGGGAGGCCGAGGCGGGCGGATTGCTCAAGGTCAGGAGTTGGAAACCAGCCTGAGCGAGACCCTGTCTCTACCAAAAATAGAAATAAATTAATTGACCAACTAAAAATATATATATACAAAAAATTAGCCGGGCATGCACATGCTGTAGTCCCAGCTACTCGGGAGGCGGAGGCAGTAGGATCGCTGATCCCCGGAGATTGAGGTTGCTGTGAGCCAGGCTGATGCCACGGCACTCACTCTAGCCTGGGCAACAAAGTGAGACTCTTGTCTCAAAAAAACAACAAAAAAAAACTCAAGTCCTCTAGATACCTGAAAGAAGTGGAAACATTAGAAAAACCATACTTGCATCTGGAAGAGTCTCTTCTTAGGTCTTGTATATCTCCTTTCTCATTTATAGGAAAATATTTAATAGGAATCAATTGTTACAATAAAAAGTACCAGCTCTGATCATAATCTAGTTTTGGAAAATATGAATATCCACATTTGATCATTTCTGCAACCAGTCAGACTAGTTCTACACGTTGGTTGTTATTAAATTTGGGGACAAAGAAAGATCTACCTGCCAAAATCTCTTTCTTTGTCTGGCTTTCCGCAATCTTCTCAGTCTGCCCCACTTGACTTGGCAACTTCAAATGCTCACTCATCCTTAACAGGAATTCTGCTGTTAGTGGATTTAATTTCAACTTTTTTAAGTCTTCCGAACTTTGCTAGTTCTGATCCCCAAGTCTTTTTGCTCACGTTGTTCCTGTCCTTGGAACATCTACCTCCTTCTCATGGACATCTTTGGTCTGCTCTGGTCTGTCCTGGTCCTGAACTCCCAGGGGCCTCACGCCCATGTTCACGTCACACCACCTGGCCTCGTCTCCCAGCTCAGCTGTGGGCCCTGGAGGGGGAGGAAATGCAAGATTTTCTTCATAAGTGTCCTCAAAAATACTAGCTTATAGTAAGGTGTGTAAGGAAACTGAAAAGGAAAAATTCAGGCAAATGTGGGGAAGGGAGAGAACCGAGTTGAGAACCTGCTCCTATTCTTGTCGCAGGTTTTGTTCCAATCAAGTTCGACACAGCTCTTGCTGTGTTCTCACTTTGAGTTATGGCAACAATTATTTGCTTTTCATATATATTTTCCCCCTCAAATCGTCTTAGGTATTTATTTTTAAGATCTATTAGGACTATTGTAAGAATAAAAAATTAGGCAGACAGGCTGACTCGAGTAAAAAGTCTGCCAGAGGCAAACTAGAAATGCCTCTTCTCTGAGCTTATATTTCCCGATGACATATCTCTATCATAATCAGTCATCGCATATTATTGTGATCCATGCCTGTGTTTCTCCTATTGGTCTGTGAGTGTGGCTTGGCTTTATTGTATTTTGTGCTGAGTATCTAACACAGTATCTGGTGTGCACAAGGGCCACAATAAATGTGTACAAGACATTAACAAATTTAAGGTTTCTTTAAACAACCATTTTGTTGTGAGAAGAGTCTTTTTTTCCGCTTTAATTTTTCTTTGATTTTTTTCCCCCTTTAGTAACAGATAAAATGATGGTCTAGAGAGCTCAAGCAACAAAATGGCGTCCTCTTTCTCCACCTTACAACCTCCAAGTTTCCCTTGAATGTTACCTCAATTTGTTTGTTTTGTCTGTGGGATTGTGAGCATTTGTCCTTTCTATTTAAGGACAAATGCTCCTCATTTATGTGTGACAATTTTCTTCTATGAAAAAAAAAGCCAGTTCTTGCAGCAATGGTTTGCTGAAGCTGGTGAAATGAATTGGTTTTGTTGACAAATAGTCTTGGTCTGAATTGCTGACATTTCTGAGCCTTCTGCTGAATTGCACAACATTGTGCAACTTTATGTGGAAATAAATGAATTTATTAGTGATGAGTTGTGTGTTTGTGGCTGTGTCTGTGTGTAATAATAAACATCTTTTGTGGGCACTTACAGCAATAATGACACCACTCTTTTTCACTTCAGCCTTTACCATAAACCAAGCCATTATTTATTTCAGTGGGGGCACGTAACCTCAAAGAATGTTATGGGAGTAGCTTGTCGAAACAGAGTAATGGACAGTAGGCTCTGAGTAATCCTCTACTGGCAGGGTTGTGTGATAGCTCAGCAGACAGCTTCTTCTATGTTGGTGGTCTGTAATATTCCTACTTTAAACTGTTCACATCTGACACAGCTCTGACACAGTCGTCCCAGGAGTTTTCTGTGACTAAGACCAGCAGAATGTTTTCTGGAGTTGGTCTTAGTCACTCGCAGGGTCAGCCTATGCCTTGCAGATGAGCATGTTGGGGGACTTGAGCTGAGATTTGGTTCCTGCCCTCACAGAGTATCCAGTCTGAGGTCACTGAACAAGCTCCCAGAGGCACTCCACCTCATGCATGTCACAGATGGCAGGAACCCAGAAGCAAGCATATAAGCAAACGGAGCCGAGCTCAAAGAGGGCTCAAAGAGGGCTGGAA